GGAGCTGCGGGTTTCCTGGAAGCCCAGGGGTGAGTCGGTTCTGGATCCACGGTGGCCGAGCCGGGAGGCAGCTCTTGAGTCCCAAGTTCGGGTTCCTGCCCAGTTACCGTTCCTGACAGATTTCTGAGCTTTGGCCTTCACTGGTGTTGCATGGAACAGCAGCCCTGGCTACTTCTGTTTCTTTGCATGCCAAGTGGCTGTCACGGGCTGAACTATGTTCCCTGCGCAGTTCCCTTGCTGACGTCCTGACTGCCTGCTCCTCGCAGTTGGCTACATGTAGAGACAGGGCCTTTAAAGAGGCGATTCAGATGAGGCTGTAGGGGAGGGCCATCTACACAGCCCTGGTGGGAGGACTCCATGAGGACACAACAGGCAGCATCCACAGACCAAGGGAGGCCTCCAGAGAGACCAAGCCCACCAGCGCCTTGAACCGGGACTTCAGCTCCCAGAATCATGAGCAAAATTGACTTCTGTTGCTGGCAGGCTGGTCTGGTGACAGGATGGAGGAGGATGTGGAATTCATACTGCATCTTTCTCTATGGTGAAGACATTGCTCATTTATGAAGGTTGCAGAAGCCAAGTGCAGCCAGCTGGGGCAAAGCCCCAGAGAGCTCACCCAAGGATGTGGTGGCGACTTGTGGGACTGATAGATGCAGCCATCTTTGAAGTGCACAGACCCGGGTCTGGAGCTTTGGCCAGGGTCCTGTCCTCATTCCTGCTTTTCACATGGATCTGGTTCCACTTTTTATCTGTCCCAGTCTGGATTCCTGGGGGAAAGACAGACTGGCCGGCCAGCTAGAGCAAGGGACTTGCCCCTCATCTGAAGGTCACAGCCACAGGAGGCAGGGTCACAGCAGCTGTCAGAGTCGTGGATGAGGGGAGGAGGCTGAGTCCTCTGTGGGGAGAGGGCCTGAAGGGACTGACATCCAGGAGTCCATGCCGATGCCGAATGGCCAGCAGGAGGTCAGTCTGGATACAAGCAGCACAATCCAAGCCAAGGAGGCCTCACCCAGAAACGAAGGTCACATGCTCATGAGTTCTGTCCACCAACGGCTGAGTGAGGCAGGCGGGAGGGCTGCAGGGACATGAACCACCCGCCAACTGCCACCACTGGCTGGAAAAAGGTGATGGGGACCAGCTGGAACTCTGCAGGACAAATGGTGCAGAATGTCTCCAATACAGAAAACACAGAGCAGTGGAACGTGACAGACAGCCACACGGGCCTCTGGCTTTGCATGCACCTGGGAGCCCGAGTTCTGACTCCGAGAAGGGGAAGAGGTGACTCACGCGTGTCATTCTGAAGAGGAAAGTACAGGAGATACGAGGGACATGCTCTTCAATCAATCTGAATTTAAAAATGGTGACCCAGCCTGAGTTAGTACCAAAAGGGCCTCCTCGAGAAGATAGCTTGAGCCCAGGCGTTCGAGACCAGCCTGGGCAACACAGCCAGACCTCATCTCTACAAAAACAAAAAAATTTAGTATGACTCACTCTGTTGCCCAGGCTGAAGTACAGTGGCACACTCACAGCCACCACAGCCTCGACCTGCTGGGCTCCGAGTAACTGGAACTACAGGCGTGTACCACCATACCCAGCTAATTTTTTGATTGTAGAGTTGAGATCCTGCCAAGTTGCTAAGACTGGTCTTGAACTCCTGGGTACAGGCGATCCTCTCGCCTCTGCCTCCCAAAGTGCTGAGATTGCAAGTGTGAGCCACTGCACCTGGCAAAAAAAAAAATTAAAAATTAGCCGGGTGTGGTGGTACACGCCTGTAGTTCCAGTTACTCAGGAAGCTGAGGCAGGACAATCGCCTGAGCCCAGAAGGCAGAGACTGCAGTGAGCCATGATTGTGCCACTGCACTCAGCCTAGGTGGCAAAGGGAGACTCCGACTCAAAAAAAAAAGGCACCTTCACTACTCCCAGTACCTCCTCCCCTCTTCTATCCTGTCCCCACCCCTAGAGCCCTGGCTTACACGCTATTTCCTCATGACACCTTCCCTGACTACACAGTTCCACTTTGTTCCAAGCTTGTTTGATCCACACTATGTTCCCTTGTAGGACTAAAGCTCCTGGGCCTTTGTCCCCCACACTGTCTGACAGGGCCTGGCAAGCCTTTCTTGAACGTTTGTTGCCCGACTAGTCGTTAATGGGCTGACCAAGGAATGATAGCCAGCAATCTGCTTGCTGGGCTCAAATCTTCCTCACATAGAGAAGAAAGAGAAATACTCAGCTATGTTTGTTTTAAGATAAAAACTTTTTATTTTACAACTTTATAAAGCAGCTTTACATTAAGCACAAACAACCCATTTACTTCGTATAGAAACAAAATATCTTTCCATCTGCAAAAAATCAAGTTTCACTGTATATAAAACTAGCGTGTGCACATTGTGCTTAACTGCAGTCTGTACAGCTTTACGGAGGTCGGCCCTTCCCAAGGGCATCCAGTAAACACGTTATTGCATATTCAACACATGGTCTACAGCCCGCATGGGAAGCGGGAGAGACAGAACACAAACAGGAAGAGGGTGAAGTAGCAGCTGTCGGGGACAGTCGCGCTGGGAGCAGCGCGGCCGCACCTGGGGTTGTGCTTGGGCACCGTCGCTCACATCCACCGGTGGTTCTAGGATGAAGCCTCGACGTACAGTGACTCCTCAGGGGTCAAACCTTCACCCGGAAACTTTTGGCTGGTTTTACAACTCAAGTGGCAACAGGTTTAACATCAAAGCGAACTCAAGATGAGTGAAAAAAAAAAACCACAAAATAACCCCATAATACCTAGAGTCTTAAAGAAAAATGCAGAGAGACAAAATAAAACCCCCCATTGTAAGCTCAGAATAAGTAAACATTTTGATGATTTAAAACCCTAGAGAACTCGAGTCGTTTCAAGGCGACCAGGCCTTGGAAGCCCCAGGCAGGGTTCCTCCAAGTCCACCTGCTCACCTGCTCAGAAGCGCCCGAGTGCTTGTTCACAACGCAGAGGACCAGCCGCACAGGCCAACAGCCCGGAGCCTGGGCTCTGCCTCTCGGAGGCTGCCTGAGGCTCTGAGGCATCTGAAGTCTGAGAACCCCGAGTCTGCCTTGATGATGCTGCCGCAGGCTCAGCTCGTCCTCTTAGAACATTCTGGGATCGCAAGCCAAGCCAAGCTGCTGTAAGAGCAACAGCCACGAGACAGCCATGCCACCGCTCGGTTCCACAGTCCTTCCTTCTTCAAGGGAGAGGACGGCCACACGGTTAAGGCACTGGTATTTGTCACAGAAGCAGTACCATGCTGTTTCTATGACGTCTCCTAATCTGAAGACCAGTATGCAAACACAAGGCAGCAGTCGGCACCGTTCTAAATGATACACGAGGAAGGGGGAAAAAGTTGCAGATTGGAGAAAGCTTGTTTTGAACACTGGCATTTAAAGTAAGTTAGGGGCATCTGGCAGTCTTGCTGAGATAGCTAACTTACAAGAAATACAAGGGGCAGAGGCTGAGGGAGCCCAGGAGCTCACTGGTATTTTTGTGGAGGGCAGAGTTAAGAGCTGTGGGCACTACACTGGGACTGGAGCTTCCCTTCCTGCAGCCAGTGACCACTGTCTTCAGTGTGGCTCGGGCTTCTCTGCTCCTGCCCCTCCGATGTTACCCTGTGTGAGCCACCCATGTGATACACCTGTGTGTGTACGATTTCCAGTTTCTAAGTAGTGCTTAGTGGGCTGAATCGAGTTAGGACAGAGTGTGCGGCAGGTCCCCACCTGCTCTCAACATGCATTTGAGGGAGGTCGCAGATAAATGCGTCGTGGTCATCAGACTCAGTCTCCCAAGGGCATGGGGTCTCCTATTTCCAAACTGTAAGATGCAGTGTTGATTTTGTGGACCATCACACCCTACGCCAAAGCAGGAGCAAAGCCACCACGTGCAGAAGCCCCACAGCAGACACCGCCTGGCATGCGGGCTCTGAGGCCTGTTGGCATGGGGTATCTCGTGATGCGCAACCACATAAAGAGCTGGTCACACTCGGGCAGCAACGCACAAGCTTCTCCTCTAACAGCGAAAACAATTTACAATTAAATGTCAAGGGATAAGCAATGACACGCAGAATCGATGGCTTAGGACACAGATGATCAGGAATGATCTGTGTAAAAATAAAAACAAAAAGCCCTTCTCTGATTCTTGATGTAGTATCTGACCCAGTATTTTTCTTTAAACATACTTTACAAAGTGGTGGTGGCCTGAAAATGACTAGCTCCTTTCCAAATTTAGGTTCATAATAAATTTCCTAAGTAATGTCCCAAAAATGTCTCCCTCAAAATACACAAAACTCTTAAGTGTAGTCTGAAATAAAATACAAAATCTAGACAGTGACCAAAAGAAGCCATCACTATGGGGGTGGGGAGGGACAGACTGATTATCAAACTCTTGCTGATTGTAGATCAAGTTTCAACACAGACAACATTTTTGTAATTTCTTGTGCATCAACAAGTTTCATTTTAGTTGTGCTTACATTATATAACTGAAGCCTGAACACTGGTTGTGTTTTTAATTTACATATTTCAAGAAAACTGTAATTTAAAATATTCACCATATATAACAAATTGAACAAATGCAACAAATACTCCCAAGAAATTAATCTATAGAAAAGAAACATCCTTTTAAAAACTTGAACACAGTCCACTATCCAGGCTACAAGTACGTATTCACTGTATTACAGCACATTGTTTTTTAAAGTCTGCTCTCAACATAAATATAAATAATCACATTTTAAAATTGCTCACATCACGTTTTCAGAGGAGTGCTGGCCGGGGGCACCCCAGTCCCCACTCCTCCCATCTTTACCGGCTGCTCCCTCAGGGACCGCAGGGTGGAGCACAAGCTCTGTCCAGCTGCTGCCCGGGCACTTCTCTCTGGAACGCCCAGCCCATGGAATGCGAGGATTCGGAAGACTGGAAATGGCTGCCATCACTTGGAGAACACACAGAAACCCCGCCTGCCTTCCTGCGAGCCTCAGCCTCCGAGAAGGTGGCCTGGCCAGAGGCTGGGCCTCCACAGAGCCCCTAGTTGTGCTTGGCCCGGCCACCCTTCAGGTAGCTCTTCCACCTCCGGACGAACTCCCGGAAGATCGGGGCCTCATCGATGGTGCTGAGGAGCTGCAGCTGGTTGATGTGCGTGGTGTGGTAGTCCCAGCGGGCCAGGTTTGGGGCGCTGCCCAGCATGAAGTGGCGGAGGTCGTAAATGGTCCCCGAGCCGGTGTCATACAGTGGCAGCATGGCCTTCAGAGACGCCAAGCCACGCTCATACAGGAGTCGCGCCTCCCTCCCCAGCTGCTCCCCCGCGGTCTCCTTCAGGTCATACAGCCCGATCAGGGAGTACATGAAGCCATTCAGGACGAATGAGCTGGGCGAGGTCGGGTACTCCTCATACCAGTCGTGCCTGTTCATAAACACGGCTTTGACTCCGTGCTGCTCGGATGGAAATTTGTAGGGGGCGGTTGCCCTTAAAGCTGCATTGAGGAACGTGTGGTCTTTAGTCAACAGATAGGCCCTGACCAGCGTGGACATGGCCTGCCCCTGGGCCATGGCCGAGTACCAGCCCGGCTCCAAGGACCGGAAACCCTCCCCCAGCTTGCGGGTCACCATGATGGGCCAGCCACCCTTCTCGTCTTGGTTCCGCACCAGCCAGTGGCTGGCGGCAAAGAACGCGGCCATGTGGGCCGTGGTGGAGATGGTGACGTTGTCGAGGAAGCCCTTCCCCTTCGCGACCAGCCTGACCACCTTCCTGGGCATTATTTTGGTTGGCTTGACAGCTTTCGTGTTGGAAAGCCCCACTCCCTTCCTGAGGTCGGTGACCAGGTCCCTGGTGATGGTGCTCCAGACTGTCCTGGGCCCGATGCCGTAGTAAATGTCTCTGTCTTTGAAAGCGATCAGCTGTGTGTTGGACACGTAATGCACAGTGAAAAGCTGGTTCTTTTCTGTGGTCTCTAGAACCACGGACACACTCCCGTTGGTCAAGAACTTGAGGTCAAATGAAATAATAAAATCCTTGGTATTGCCCAGTTCCAAGGACACACCTTCGCTGGTTTCTATAGGGGAATGCATCCAGAGACTGGTTAGAATAAACATAGCCTTGAAGTTTAACTGTAATTCATTCTTGACAATTGATCATTCAAAATTGACACTTGCTTATTTTGTGTAAAGATCGCTACTTTCTTATTTTTTACTAAGTTAACCAAAACAAATGACAGAATTCGTGAGTTCACGCTGGCTTGTAAGCATCAGGCCAAAGTTCTTGCCTTTGGCCCTGTCTGGTCCACATGAGAAATTAAGAGCAAATGGCAGAGGCACTGCTGATCAAACTGCCTGTCCGGGATCTAATGCCAGCTGATCAGGAGCCAACAACTGTTCTAGCACGCCCATTCTGCAAAAGGAAAAAAGGCAGCCAAAGTCTGTCTCAGCCTAGGACACGGCAGGGGAGACTAGAAGGACCAGTGTAGAGGATTGTAAAACATTTATTTAATTACCACTTCACTTACAGTTACTATGTTCTAAGTGCTTCACACCCATTTACTCATGCCCTGATTACTCCCACCTATGGCTGAGAAACCAACATAGAGACAGACATAAGGTAACTTGCCCAGGGGACACAGATGTGAACCCAGCTTCCCAGGTCTGACTCCACAATGCATGTTCTTAACTTGATGCTGAAAATGACAGGTCTGTTTTCAGATATCTGCTAGATTTGTGAATAAAATTTCTGGAAATTAAGCAGTAGCCTCATGTATACAACAAAAAGTGTGTGGTGGGTGGGTAGTGGAAAGCACACGCTTTGGCGTTAAAGCCTCAACATTGTGTCCTGTTCTACCCCGATCTCTGGCCAGCCATACCTCTTAGAATCTCAGTTTCTTCACATGTTAAATGGATATAACATTCCCTTGCAGGGTAGTTGTAAGGATTAAAAAATAGTGGCTTGGAATCCAGTAATAAATGATGGTTGTTATTATTCTGAAGCCACTGGCTTGAAAGGCTAACACAATCATAAAAGTTGTTATATCTGACAAATTATTAAAGAGGAAATTTCTCTTGCATATTTGTAGTATAATGATGGCCAATTCCCTGCAAGATGACTTTCTAACACTGCTCACCAGGTCCACCAAGACAAGAGTCAGAGTGTGCTGTGGTCCATACACTTTGTTGTCTTGCAGCAGCAAGAGCAAGACAACAAAGCATGTACAGGACACATTTTGAACGATCCCAGGGAAATGCAAGCACTGCAATCACGACGGCTTCAATTTCCAAACCATGTTCACAGGTATTATCTCACTGGGTCCCTTCAACTACCTTCTGCCAGGAGGGCAGGAATTCTTGTCTCCACTTCAGAGGTGAAAAGACCAGGCTCACAAGGTTAAATCGTTCACCCAAGGCCAAAAGCAAGCTTGAGGGAGAGCAGGGACTGGAACCCAGGTTTCCAGACTCAGTTCAGACTCAGAAAGACACATGGTTGGAAAGGAAAACTCCTGAGAGTATGAACAGCAAGGCTACTTCTCTCAGACAGCGCAGACGCGGATCTCTGCTCCGACAAGTCCTTGAGGAAGTCTCTAGGGTGTCACCAGGACAGAGGCCAGAACTGGGGACCAATGTGGGTGCGCACAGTGTGGGCAGCCCAGAGAGCTGAGTCACTCATCTAACTATCACAACGGGGGCTCTACCAGTAGGGGTATACTTGGCCCAAGGCTCTTACTTCATTCGTTGGAACAACTACAGAAGCTGTGTCAGGAATGAGAACAACTCAATAAAAACTATGCATCAAAGAAAGCTCGAGCCGGGCTCGGTGGCTCAGCCTGTAATCCTGCGCCTTGGGAGGCTGAGGTGAGTGGACTGCCTGAGCCCGCGGGTTCGAGACCTGCCTGGGGAACTTGATGAGACCTCATCTCTACAATAAAACAAAAAATTAGCCAGGTGTGGTAGCACACACCTGTAGTTCCAGCTACTTGAAGGCTAAAGCGGAAGGATCGCCGGAGCCCAGCAGGTCGAGGCTGAGGTGGCCGGGAGCGGCCACTGCACTCCAGTCTGGGTGACAAAGTGAGACTCCAACTCAAAAAAAAAAAAAGGAAAGCTCAAGTGACTTCTAAAAGATGATTTCAGAGGTAAACTTCTAATAGTCAAAATCTGCTTCATCCGGCAAAATGCCAATGCACGTGCTCAGTGTGCGCTGCTCTGCAACTCTAGGAAACCGGCGAAATGGGATCTGAAGTTCAGTGTGGCATCCCTGAGATGCTGCAGGAGTCTAAACTGATGCATGGACCACTCAAGGATAAGTTATATTCAGCAGGGCAGACTAGCTTGAGTGCTGCTTAGATTTTCATTCTTTGGGTAACGCCTCATTCATCAGACAACATTGTTAACTATGGCATCCATCTGGCCCACCTGGTAACAGTGAGTCCCATCTCAGAGGTTCACACAGGAGGAGGCTGAAGGAGTACTCATTTCCTCCCAGAATTCCATTCTGATTGTCACTTGATTTATACCAATCTAATGAAAGGGCACAGTTCAACCAGTCATCTCATGTCTTTGTTTTGAGTTGGAGTCTCACGCTGTTACCCAGGCTAGAGAGCAGTGACACACTCACAGCCACCCCAGCGTCGATCTGCTGGGCTCCAGCAATCCTTCTGCCTCAGCCTTCCAAGTAGCCCAGACTATAGGTGCGCACTACCACACCTGACTAATTTTTTGATTACCGTAGAGATGAGGTCTTGCCACACCTCATGTCTAAATAGATCATTACAGAGACCTCGGCAAAAGGCTGTAGTAATTTTCGTAAAGCCTTACCGCCAGCAGAGGGGACTACTGAGTCACACAGGAGAAGTGGCAAGGAGTCACAGCCCTCAAATTGAATTAACAACCAATAGTCTCCACAACAATCTTATGAGATGGATCTTTTAATTTCCATTTTATAGATTTACAAAGGAGGCTAAGTAACCTGCCAGCATCACTCAGGAGGATCGGAATGTTACGAATGAGTGGTGGCCAGCCTGGAAAGCCTGGGTGAGGCTCTGATCTCTACAGGAAGTGTGATGCTATCAGAGGTCCCTGCTTCAAGCCTGATAGAAGGTTCGGAGTTTTCTGTTGTTTGAAATCCCTGACTCCTCCTCTCTCAGAGAAGGTGTTCCCAAAGTTACCAACTGCTAACTTTTAGTAAATGTGGCATAGGCATATGTACTTCAGACAGCAAGAAATGATAAATAGTTAAGAGTGGTCTTGACATTGGTCTTAGCAATGCTTCTTTTGGATTTGATACCAAAAGCACAAGCAAAAAAGATAAACAAGTGGGATGACATCAAACTAAAAAGATTCTGGGCTAGGCTCAGTGGCTCGGCCTGTAATCCCAGCACTTTTAGGACGAGGTGAGTGAATTGCCTGAGTCCACAGGATTGAAACCAGCCCAGGCAACTTGGCAAGACCTCGTATCTACAATAAATCGAAAAATTAGGTGGGTGTGGTAGCATGTGCCTGCAGTTCTGGCTACTTGGAAGGCTGAGGTGGAAGGATCGCTGGAGCCCAGCAAGTCGACGCTGAAGTCCAGCAGGTCGACGCTGGGGTGGCTGTAAGTGTGCCATTGCACTCCAGCCTGGGTGAGAGTGAGACTCCAACTCACAAAATAAATAAATAAATAAAAAGACTCTGTACAACAAATGACATAATTGAGAAAATGAAAAGGAACTATGGGGTGGGAGAAAATATGTGTGAACTACATACTGATAAGGGTTAATACCCAAATGCATCAGGAGTTCATACAACTAATAGCAAAATAATAATAATAATCTGATTTAAAACGGGCCATGGATCTGAAAAGACAGTTTTCCACAGAAGACAAACAAGTGGCTAAAAGGTACATAAACAGATGCTCTCTGTCACTCACCACCAGGGAAAGGTAGATCAAAGCCACAGTGAGCAATCGCCCACATGTGCCGAATGCCACCATCAGAAGGGCAAGAGCTAACAAGTGTTGGTAAGGACCTGGTGTAAAGGGAGCCTCTGTGCATTCCGGGCAGGAATGTAAACTGGCACCATTGTTATGAGAAACACTAGAACTGCCCTGTGATCCTGTGGTCTCACTTGTGGGCACACACACAAGGAAATGAAATCGACACCCCAAGAGTTACCTGCACGCCTGTGTTCTCTGTAGTATTCTCCCAAAAGCCAAGACACAGAACCAACCTGTGTCTGGTAATGGATGAATGGATAAGGAAACCATGGCACACGGCCAACGGGGCAGTATTCAGCCATAACAAAGGAGTAAGGTCTGCTGCTGTGACAGCATGAGGCGTGATGCCAGGTGCGACAGGTCAGAGAAGGACAGACACTGTGGACGCTAAAACAAGTGACGTCAAAGACACACAGCAGCACAGTGGCTGTCAGGAGCTGGGAAATATGGGCAGATGCTGGTCACTGGGTACACTCCTCCAGTTGTAAGATGAGTGAGTCCTGGGAGTTGATGGGTAGCACGGCAGCTACAGTCTGTAACTGAAATGTGCTAAGATGATCGCAATGTTCTCACCACACACAGAAAGGTAACCACGTGAGGGACGGATGTGTCAGTAACTTGACTGTGGTAGTCATTTCATAACACATACATAAATCGAAGCACCACATTGTAATATACACAAGTCTGTATATAAGCTGGAAAAAAAGAATAGTCTTTGAACCAATGTTTTCACATATAACAGAAACTCTTTAGAGTGAGAACAGGCCCTACTCAGAACCTTGAGGAGCACGAGAGAAAGAGCCAGGCAGGAGAGGTTCCCAAAGAGGCCCCAGGAAGGAGAAAGTGAGCACAGAGAGACGAACGAAGACTGTGTCGGGAAAAGGAAGCCAACTGAGTTCAACAGCCCAAGACAGGTATAAAGTGTCGATTCATCCACTTTTATAATTAGGAAGAGGAACAAAACATTCTCAACAAATAAAACAATAAAGACATGGTGTGGACCCATATCACAGGGCTCTTTAATCCAGATGATTTTATTCTTTCAGGGAAAAAAAAGACAAGGCCAAGAAAACAAAAACAGGACGAGCAGCATTCAGCTCCTGGTCCTCCAGGGCCTGCCTCACGTATGAGAGGTAAGCCAAAAAACCGGAATTATCTTTTGGAGGGCAGGCCCCTTGCAGCACAGGCTTCCCCTGCTAGGTAAGTGTTCTAGGAACTCATAGGATCTGTGGACCAGCTAGCGTGGTGAGAGAGGCTGCATTCGGCTTCAGTGAATTTTTTAGAGATTCCTTCAATGCATTTGCCCATTTCAAGATAGGTGATTTACAAGTAAACCTGCCCACACCATGCTAAGTGTTCAGCAGTTTTTGACCAAAAACAGTATGACCCTCGTGCCCACGCTCCCTGTTCACCTGATCTCACCCTGAATGACCTTTTTTGGTTTCCCTGGATGAAAAAAGTCCTCAATGGGAAACATTTTGCTGATGTGAAAGAGGTGAAACAAAAAAGGCAAAAGCACTCAAAGGCAGCAAAATGGAGAGTCCAAAAACTGTTTTGAGCAGTGGAAAAAGCATCTCGATAGGTGTATGTATTGCATCAAATGGAGAGTATTCTGAAGGTGACCAAAGCTTAACCATATAGGAATAAACACACTGTTTTTATAAATAAACTACGGTGTTACGGTCCTCCCCACGGGCCTGCGCCTCATGTCCAAGGTCCCCTTTCTCCCTAACAGAATTCTGGGAGTGCATCCCCTGAGAGCCCCCACCTGTAAGAACCTCATCCTCGTGCCTGTGCTTCCATACAGTGTCTTCCCCTCTGATTTTTCCTCCTGCTCTGTGCATGATAGATAACCCATGCAACTCCAACTCGCCTTCTCTCATCTCTCGTAAATAAAATACAAAATACTCTGGAAATACAAAATCTGAGGCTTTCTGAGTACCGACATGACGCCACAAATGGAAAACTCCACACCTGCCTTCATGGGACAGGCTGCAAATATTATTAAAAATACTGCATAAAGCCACCCTCAGGCTATGTCTAAGGAACACATGAAATATACATGAACTTCACACTTAGACTCAAGTCCCTTCCCCAAGATCTCATTATTATATAAATGCAAATATTCCAAAATCTAAAAAGCCCCATACCCAAAACACCCCTGGCCCCTTATTTAGGATAAGGGATCCTCAGCATGTCAAGGCACACGGGATGGCAAAACACACACATCATTCCCAGCTGGCAAAGGGGTTCCACCCGGAACAGTTGTGTCCCACTGGCAGCATGGCCATCACAGACAGAGCTCTCTGTGTGCCTAAGATCACTTTAGGATGCAGTTTTCTCTCCAGCTACTGGCTACAGAATGAAGGGCTAAGGTGAGGACCCTCCTCGGGATGTGGGGATGTAACCCTGCATGACCAGGACACCCAAAGTCAACAATCCTAGGAACCCTGTCCTATTTAGAGCAACAATGAAATCTGTTGCTCTAAATAGGATAGGGTTCCAAGGATTGTTCTAGAAAACCTTCCAGACCCTCAAGGAGATCAAAGTGAGGGTTGCTGTTTTCTACCTGACCCAGATTACATTATTAATTAGTGCAAAAATAAGTTTCTTGGGTGCACCCAAAACGAAGTGTTCTTTTGTGTAGCCTAATCATTTCCTGCTGCAATTAGGTGCCACAAGCTAAATATTCTTAAAAACTTCCATGTACTTTCTCACCCAGCCAAGCCTGCTTTTTACAAAAAGCAGATGCTCTATGTACTGAAGAATCACAGAATGCCACGGGAGAAAAGAAGTTCTAGTCACAGAACAAAAATGACAGGTCACCCATTGTTTGAGTGCATTAAGCACTCCTAAATCCATTCCTTAAGGCCAACTAGAAGGAGTTGATTTGTACTGTGGCTTTCAAGGTCTGTGAATCACACAGTCATCGATAAAGAACAGGGGAGAATGCAGAGGAGGTTCTCAACCTTTTTTCTCTTCTACTTCCCTACTGTGGGGCTAGGGGAGGGTGAAGTCAGTTTTGTTCCTGACAGCATTTCCCACAGAGGATTAAGCCTGAGGTGCTAGCTAAAATTATTTCTTTGTCTTTTTAAGTAATGAACTCATTAATTCTCATGGATAATGGTTAGTGCAGAAAAATACATTACATCCTAATTAATGAGACTGTCTTAGCAAAAGGGGAAATGTTGCATAAAGTTAATTTGATTTGATAAATGGTTTTATTAATGAAAATGGTTTTACATGACGTTTAAGATCATCTAGTGCATTAACAAAATCCAATATGGAAAGCAAGCTTGTTTGGCAATGGTGTATTAACTTGAAAAAGTGAAAAACTACTGGTAAAAAACAGGAGGAGGAAAGGATGGCTCTCTCCTTTAAAAGTTCTATTTAATGCAAAAGTTTAAAAATTGAACTCTACTGTAGTGCAATATCAAAATGAGTTAAGGAACTTCACTTCTGTGGGATCAGGGAAGACACACACTGCAGTAATCTTGATCTCAACATTCAATCCATGGCTTGGCTCTTTACACAGTAAATATCCCTTTTTTATAAACTTGACTTCTTAGCTGTTCCTTCTTCAGAGATTTCATCTAGGTGGCACCCTTTGTTTCTTTATATATGGAATATAAGTGGCCTGCACATGTGTTTTTTAAAACCAAATTAAAATTTTCAAGGATCATCAGATACTATAAATCAACATACAGTTAACAGCCACATGTAATTCCTAACTTACCTGGAGCGCTAAACTGCTTAACATTGGTGAATCTGGACTTATCCGCCACGCTGGCCATGAAGCAGCCCTTCGGCACAGTCCAGTCACCAGGCCTGGTGTCCCTGTCCCTGTCCTCAGCCGTCTCATACACCTCTATGTGAGGAGGCTTCTCCGTCAGATTCTTGCTGTAATGACTTAGCCCATACTGAGCAATCTGGATTGGGTAGAAATAGCCTTGAGGTCCCCATTGTGTAGATAATGGCACACCTAGAACACAAAGAAGCACACGAATGACCACATCCAGGCACTCACAAGTCTGCCCTGAATACCACTCCTCACTGCTTGACTTCTGGTATCAGACACTTACAAGCCCCTTATAGTACTGCTTCCATAATTACTAGAAACTAGCACCAAGTTAACCAATAGGAAAAATGAAATTAAGTATTCATTCACTCTCATGCATCATTTGTTGACAGCAATGCAATGTTACAGATTCCCTTTTAAAGACTGGTTCTTTACGTGTGTTACTTTTTTCTCAAAGCTGCAGATGTCATGTTTCATAATACCATTTCATATACTCCAATTCTATACGATTTGCATGCACATAATGTCACCATGGTTTGATTTTAAATATTAATCCTGAAATTATCTCTTTTTTTTGAGTTGGAGTTTCACTCTGTCGGCCAGGCTGGAGTGCAGTGGTGCGAACATGGCTCACCATAGCCTCATCCTCCTGGGCTCAGGTGATCCTTCCACCTCAGCCTCCCGAGTGGCTGGGACTACAGGCATGAGCCATCACACTCGGCTGATGTTTTGATTTTTTTGTAGAGATAAGGTTTTGCTATGTTGTCTAGGTTATGGAATTTTCTTAAACATTTACATTTAATAATCAAGTTAACTACACACCTCTCTTTCTCCAGTGTCAAGGTGTGGTCTAATAACTAAATATACCATTTGATAGTCAAAGTATTCGCTTAAGAAGCCAGCTGTGACTAGGAAATATAAAATGTAAGCACGGCTCGAAATTCTTTATCGTATCCTTCCTGTCAAAATATAATTCTTAAGAACAAAAAGTGTTTTTATTAAATGAATTAAAGCCCTACATTTAACCACAGATTCTTGAAATAACTTATTAATGAATTAAAGTAAGTTCTAAGCACAACTTCTAAATATTTGGTATGAGAGTTTATTTTAGTAGTTTTCTACATAAAAATTCCAAGACTATACTGCACACAATACTGTACTGTTGAATCATGTGTGTTGAGAGAGAAACTCCTGTCACAGTTCTAAGATAAACTAACAAGCATCTGATGGGTACAGAAGAAACCAGGAACCTACAAAGTTGTATGCGTTTTGTAAATGTCTAAGGAATTAGGGCTTACCCAGGCCAGGAGACTGGGCTACAGGCAGGCTCTTTAACATTTGTACCCTTTCTCCAAGGAAGGGGTCCTCCAATTCAAATGGAATTATTTCCAGTTAACAAAAGATGGGTTCATATAACCTCATTAAAGAAAGGTGATCACTGCAGTAGTGTTCAACTGGCATAGGAACGGAGAGTAGTCAATAAAACAGAACAGTAGGCCAGAAACACACTCTTGTACTCAGAGGAATTCAGAATCGTGACAAAGCCTCTATCACAAATCAGGGGGGGAAGGAGATCACTCAATACATGTTGGGGGAGATAGTTAAAATTAGACCCTGACCTTTTTTTTTTTTTGAGTTGGAGTCTCACTCTGTCGCCCAGACTGGAGCGCAGTGGCCGCTCCCGGCCACCACAGCCTCGACCCGGTGGGCTCCGGTGATCCTTCCACCTCAGCCTTCCAAGTAGCTGGAACTACAGGCGCGTGCTACCACACCCGGCTAATTTTTTGATTTATTGTAGAGATGAGGTCTCGCCAAGGTGCCCAGGCAGGTCTCAAACCCGCGGGCTCAGGCAATCCACTCACCTCAGCCTCCCAAGGCGCGGGATTACAGGCTGAGCCACCAAGCCCGGCTGACCCTGACCTTTCATCACCTGTAAAAATAGAAGTCCCGTTAGTGGGACTCAACAAGTCAAATGTAAAAAAAATAAAACTCTTAGAGAAAACACAAATGGAAAGCTGACATAGTGTGGCAAATGCCTGAAACATAAAGCAAAGATGTACAAAGATCCCAAACCTATGAGTTCAGTAAATAGAACCGCAAACTTCTGAAACCAACCAACCGAGAGTAAAGTGAGAAGACAACCGAGTTGAAGACAGCATCTTCACAAACGTGGTGCTGCCACTCTTACTATACGAGTGAGAGCTCACACAAATGCATGCAAACACACTCATCACATTGGAAAAAGGGGAGAGAGATGAAGACACAGTCGAAAACACATCTGATCTTGCTAGTTGCTAAAGAAAGACCATCATAATATCTTTTTGTCAAAAGCAGATTAGAAAACAATGTCCCATGACAGCAAGAGAGTGACAGGGGTGCCCTCAGAGTCAGCAGCGCAGGCGTGGGGAGCTCCGCCTTCTGGGAAGCAGGAGGCAAATCAGACCATGAGCTTGGCAGTGCCCTTGCTATGGCAGTTAACCATATTCTCAGAGTAGGAACATACTCTTTTTTTTTTTTTTTTTTTTGAGTTGGAGTCTCACTCTGTCGCCCAGACTGGAGTGCAGTGGCCGCTCCCGGCCACCACAGCCTCGACCTGCCAGGCTCCGGCGATCCTTCCGCCTCAGCCTTCCAGGTAGCCGGAATTACAGGCATGCGCTACCACGCCCGGCTGATTTTTTGATTTATTGTAGAGATGAGGTCTCGCTGCCCGGGCGGGTCTCAAACCCGCGGGCTCAGGCAATCCACTCACCTCAGCCTCCCAAAGGCGCGGGATTACAGGCTGAGCCACCGAGCCCGGCTAGGAACATACTCTTATAGAATAAAATATAAAACATACTCTTATAGAATAAAATATAAAACAGAAAATGAAGATTCACAACGAACATCTATAAGATTTATAATGGCAAAAACTGGAAATGACCCAGAGTCCAACTAAAGAGAAGCATCCCATCCACTACAAACATGTGTAAGAGCATGTCCTCACTATGAATTTAATCATTAAAATGCTCAAAAAATATCCAATAAGGAGAAATAGTCATAATATGTTAGGTGAAAACAGCAGAATACAAATATACAGTAGGATACCAATTTTTTTTTTTTAATGCATTTTGGGGGGTTGGGAGGAATAGGAGTCTCACTCTGTTGCCCAGGCTGGAGAGTAGCAGCACGATTATAGCCACTACAGCCTCAATCTACTGGGCTCAGGCAATCCTTCCCCCTCAGCATTCCAAGTAGCTGGAACTACAGGTGTGAGTCACTACGACTGGCTAATATTTTTATTTATTATAGAGACACGGTCTCGTCAAGTTGCCCAGGCTGGTCTCAAACCCTTGGGCTCAGGCAACCCTCTCACCTTTGTCTCCCAAAGTGTTGAGATTACAGGCATGAGCTACTGTGTCCAGCTAAAAAGTGCACTTCGGTGACGACAACAAAAAGATTAGAAAAAACATCAAAATATTAATAGTGGCTATGGATGCTTTTTACTTTTCAATTTTGGAATCTAAGCACCTAAACATTTGATAAATTTTTTTTAATTGATTAAAAAAAAGTTTGGTCATGAATATCTTTGAAATCTCTAACAAACTTATTACCCTCCTGAGTTACTGTATAACATCATAACAACCATGTTAAACATATATCTAAGTATAGCAAGCTCCAGAGGTATACAAAAATGGTACTAATTCTCTTGATGTGGTGAGAATATAGGTGAATCTGGTCCTTCCCTCTTCTAAGCATTTGGTAAATATATTATTAAAAACTTATATAACTAGGAAAAACAGAGGGAAAAACTCCCACAGCGAAGATGCAGACCCCAATTTCGATTTGCTGAATACACATACCATTAATGTCACAACCATGGCTACAGGCCTTCAACCTGAGGGCATCTGAAAACAGCCAGTGTCACCAACAGAGCACACATTTCTTTCCAAAGCAAAAATATATACTAAGCTAAAAGCTTGTTTCAACAGATTTTAAAATATTAATAAAGATAATAAAATTACTTTATAACAAAATGAGGAAAATAAAACCCAAATGAAGTCATCTCAAAACACATTAAGCTCTTTCCCCTGTTTCAATGATGTACTTTAAAGTCAAATTCAATTTGGCTTTCTGGTTTGAAAAGAAAATTCCACAGCATATTAATTGTACCCATGAGGAAGCCCCACTGCCCCAGGCTTTAAAGACAATGAAAGACAGTAAGTGAGAGACTATGGGAGCTCAGCGTAAATTCAGAGAAAAAGTGCCCAGGCACCGTCTTATCCTGAGGACTCAAAACCTCCCCCAGAGGGGAGAGCCAGTTAATCAGGGAACAAGACCACCCTGGTATGCGGACAGGTGCCCTGCACGGCCCTCTCTTTCCCATCTCCTCTCATGGGTTAAAACTACATTTCAACGCAAAGCTTCTCGAGCTGTGCCTTGGCCTTACTGGTGAGTGTTTCAGATCCTGAGGCAGGTTAATGAAATAATCCTATCCGTTAAGGTATGCTCTCACAGCAGCCCTTAAATCATACCATCTAGCAAGTTGCCTCCGTTCAGACTTAACCTGTCCTTCCTGTTAAGTCAGAGGGATGAACGGCCTCCTGACAGTAAGCAACGTACCTGCTATGTAACCCACAGTCACATTTTCCTCTTCCCCAACACAATCATGCTTGAAAAATGCAAGCAAAGCAGACAGACACCAACCTTCAACCCCACTTATGCACTTGACTCTGTCTCGGACTTCCACATTGTAGCCTTCGAAGGACATGAACACGCCGTCGGGGTGATATGGGGCTCTCTGTGCGTAGACTTTGGAATAGCTGTGAGAGAACTCAAAGCGGTCATAGCCATCATACTGAACCACCTTGCCATAGACATCAAAATACTTCTCCACCCAGGTGAACGGGAGGAAGACCTCGCTACCCTCCCGCCTCCCTTTGATTGTGTGCTCGTCGTTGATGAGACAGTCGATTTCCTCATACTTGAGCCCTAGCGCCTTGCTTCCCCCATTGCTGCCGAAGCCCCCAACGACAGGGGGAGCTTTCTGCTGCTCCTGTGCGAAGGCCTCCTCAGACTGCAGCCTGGGCACGTGCTTCACATAGTGGTTGCTCTCCGAGGCTGCTGCTCTCTTTTCTAATCCATCTGCTCTGAAGCCACTGCTCAGGTGCCGTGGAAACTGGGTGGCCTTGTCGCTGGAACACTTGTTCCACAGAAGCACCGTGACCAGGGTGAAGAATGCACAGATGATAATCAAAGTCTTATAGTTGACCCGAGCTGCCAAGCAACGCATATTCAGACCATACCTATGGAGACAAGAAGAAAAAGGCATCAGAGATGTGAACCGACACTTCACAGGATCAAGGGCCTTTCAGTTTCTCATAACCTCTCACAGGATGAGGACAGTATATTTTAATGCAAAGTTTCTAAAGATGCTGTGCCTTGGCCTTACTGTGAGAACTGTAGATTCTGAGGCAGGTGACCACACAACAATCATTTTAAGACAATTTTATTAACTGCATGTAATCTGGCCAGATTTAAAATGGCTAGCTCAACACTTTCTGCACATAGAAAAGGTAAGAGGTGGGCAGGCTTGATGCCTCAGCCTGTAATCCCAGCAATTTGGGAGGCCGAGGCGAGTGGATTGCCTGAGCCTGCAGTTTCAAGACCAACCCAGGCAACTTGACGAGACCTCATCTCTACTATAAATAAAAAATTAGCTGAGCATGGTAGCACATGCCTGTAGTTCCAGCCACTTGGAAGGCTGAGGTGGAAGGATCGCTGGAGCCCAGCAGGTCAACGCTGGGGTGGCCATGAGCGTGCCACTGCACTCCAGCCTAGGCAACGGAGTGAGACTCCAACTCAAAAAAAAAAAACCCTTTTGGTGAAACACTCAGACGGCACAAACCCTAAGACAAATGTGTGTCAACTCCCTTGACTGTGGCTCCTGTGATACTGAGCCACTTTTCACAATGACCCCCCTCCCCAGGCCAAAAGGAATGCCTAAGAAGAACATCCTTTCACAGAGACACCTGGGTTCAGATGTCTGGATTTTTTTCAGACTTTGGAATACTTGCATTATATTCACTGCAAATCCAAAACCTGAAGTGCTTCATGAGCGTTTCCTTGAGTGCTCAAAAAGTTTCAATTGTGAAGCATTTTTTATTTAGGGTTTCCAAATTCGGGATGCTTAGCCTGTCATTCCATTTATTAAGTAGTTAGGGTCAAACAACTTCAGTATTTATGTCCTAACACCCAAGTAGTTGTCTGAAAAAACATACTAGACTTTTTCAAAGAAGACACCGACATCTAGTTGCGAAATCGAACGTGAGCTTTTAGTGCTCATCCTACGCGGCCTTTCCTTCCAGAAACACCTCCTCCCACGGGCTCTAGGCACCATTCTCTCTCGTCCCCCTAACATCCCACTTGCTGTTCTCTCCCCAGTCTTCTTCGAGTGCTCCTTAGAGCACCATAGGTCCCAGTCCTCATGCTCCTGCTTATCTCTGTTCCCTCCTAAGTGATCTTACCCAATCTCATACTTTTAAAGACAAGGGTGACTCTCTCCAAATTCCATCTCCAACCGGACCTTTCTTTGAAAGTACAGATACATATGTAAGTGACATCTTTATCTGGAGGTCTAATCGACTTCTGAAGCAACATCCAAAACATCCCCTGACACTCTCTCTCAACCTGTTTCTCCCTTCCTGCTGCTCAGACTGAAAGCCTTAGTCCTCTCTTGTTCACCCATGTCCATCCAGCTGGCTCTACCTTCAGTTTATGGCCGGAATCTGACCTCGTCCACTGGAACGCTAGTCCCTCTGGTCCTACCAGCACCCACCACTCCACCCCAAGTCCACTCTCAACACCACATCAGAGCAATGCTCTTCCTTCCAGTCCTGACAGGGCTGCCGTCCCAGCTGGCCATGTGGTACACCGGCCAGTGGAGATGGAGTGCAAATATTCCTGGGCCACCTGCAGCTGGACTCGCTGGGAAGCATGGGAAATTACAGATTAGTTACATGGACAACATGTGGGACACTGCGGCTGGCTGAGAGCAGAGGGAGCAGGCTCACTGCCGTTGGCTGCCGCAGCTCTGTGACTTGCTGTGTGGTGTGAATCCACAATGACTCACTGTGTTGCTTGTACTCCCCCCTTCTCATATTCCCCTCAATAAACCCTTTGGACAGCAAATAAATTTTTTAAATAACAATAATTTTCAATTAAAAAATTAAATGCTGAATTTCTGTTTCCCAGGTAACTGGTGGTGAACGTGTACCTCATACATTTATTTAACTTCCAAGGGAAGGTAAACGCTGAGCTCTTCGGTGTCTGAAAACAACCATCCTCTACGCCCACTTCTGATGAATGGCTTGGCAGGATGCAGGCCCTCAGCTGCATCCTCTTTCCTTTCTAAATGTGGTAGGCAACACTCCACTGTACTAACGCACTAACAGTTATTCACGAGCAGTCTGACTTGAGTCTCATCCTCATCCCTGTGTGTCTGACTTCCCTCTGGGTATTTTGTTTATACCAGGGAGTCTGTAGTGGCGAGAGGAGGTCACGGGGTGATGTCTGATTCTCTACTTCAGCACTAGGTGTGCCCTTTCAACAGGAAAACTTGGTCCTCTGATTCTTTTTTAGTTTTGTTTTTGAGTAGGAGTCTCACTCTGTCGCCCAGGTTGGAGGGCAGTAACATGCTCATGGTCACCGCAGCCTGTGTCTGCTGGGTTCAGGTGATCCTCCCACCTCAACCTTTCAAGTAGCTGGAACTACAGGCATGCACCCCCACGCCCAGCTAATTTTTTGATTTGTTGTAGAGATGAGGTCTCACCAAGTTGCCCAGGCTAGTCTCGAATCCCTGGGCTCAGGCAATCCTCTCACCTTGGCCTCCCAAAGTGCTGAGATTACAGGCATGAGCCACTCTGCCCAGCCATCCTCCTATCCTTGTTTAAAGGATATAGTATCTTCTTGGATCTCTGAATATATTAGATTCCTCCTTTTTTCCCCTATCAAGTTCTGATTAGTCCTAGCTTCCCCACTGGCAAGTTTTCTGGAATTTTAGGCTTCTGCACCATTAGTTTTCTGCACAGGCCTGGCGATCTTCGGTTACCTGTTCATGTTGAAGAGGGGGACTCCCGAGCCCACACAGACTTCCTCTGCTGTCATGAAGATGCTCTGGTTGGGGTTAGACTGCTTCCTGAGGGGGACAGAAAGAGGGATCTCTGTGCTAGCTGGGCAGAAGCTGAGGGTTCCTTCGGGGTGAGTAGGCAGGGAGCAGCAGACTGCCATGTGCAGAGTGAAGCTGACTTTCCCTCTTTGGTTCTGTAGACACAGCATGTGCTTCTGAAGACTTTGTCTTTCCCAAGTTCTCTAAAGAAAATCTGCTTGGAGTCCTGTCTGGGAATCTCGCCAGCTATGTGCAGCCCAAGCGCTGAGGTGAGAGAGCTGTGAGGAGGGAGGGAGGGTACGGTGGTGCCTTCTGTTACCCGAGATCCAGAATCTGCTCCCCCATCAAGCCTCTCACAGTGCTAGGATTATAGGCATGAGCCACACCCGGTCACCCAGCTAATTTCTAAATTTTTTTTTTTTTTTTTTTTGTAGAGATGAAGTTTCTGCAGTGTTGCCCAGGCTGATCTTGAACTCCTGACCTCAAGCAATTCTCCATCTCAGCCTCCCAAAGTACTAGGATTCCTGGCATGAGCCACCATGCCCAGCCTTTAAATATGTTTTTAAAAGACTTCACTGAAATTGTGACTGGCTTTTTCTTTCCTCTGAATAATGTAGGCCAAGGCTTGTCTGCTCATTATTTCTCTGATTTACTCTAACAACTCACATTGCTTATAATTTCTTGATTGAGAAGAATGTTTTCTCTGAAAAAGAAATTCCTTGGTACTGAGTAAATAAATGTATGAATAATCAAATGCACTGCCTGGTTCAGTTAGCACGTGTTCAGCAACTATTACATGGCAGGGAGGCACTGTCCATGTCCCTAAAGGATAGATTAGTGGGCATTAAAAAAATAATGCAATGATTTAAGAACTGTAAAAAGTTATGTGGAATATGCTGTTAATACCCTGGTTTTTTTAAAGTGTTAAGAAAAACACTGAGGGAAGGTAAGAAGACTGACAGCCAAGCACGCCCAGTTAGGGCAGTTGCAGGAGCTGGTCTCTCTGCCTGGCACATGGTTCCTGAGACATCCCCCTGGCCTGCTCCTGCCTCCACTCAGGTCACTGCTTCTGTGTCCACTTCCTGCCTGCCTATCTAAAAGAGTAGCTCTCCCATCACTCTCCAGGTCCTTCCTCAGCTTTCTTTTTCTTCAGAGCATTCATCACCATTTGATACATCATATATGTAGATGACTATCCAGTTCCAATCCACTAGAATTAAGAGGACTGGGTTTTGCTTCTCCTGGTCACTGCTGTATCCCAAGTCCTTAGAAATGCACCTGACTTGCAGCAGACATGCATTAAAGATTTGTTGAATGAGTAAATAGTGTTAAGTATGCAATTTTTTAAAATAACAGACATTTGAAATAACAACTTTGCTTTCTTTCCCATATTTGGGTATTTGGAAATCATAATCCAAATAAAAATGAACATAACTGACACAACAGAGTATGGATTGTGATGCTGTATATTGGCCAACTCTTTAAAACAGATTTACAACTTAATTACTGCTGTTAGTAATGTTCCATCTGTTTACTGCTTAATAGACCAAGATTTAAATTATATATTCAAATGGTTAAACATGCAGTGATAGATCTAACTCAAGGGAGAATGGCCTGATGTTTTTGGTTGTCAGGACCCATACAATAATGTAAACAAAGTCAATTCTCGACAGCTACTTTGCTAGTCCATTTTATTTTTTTAGTAACAAAGTTAAAATTATCTCTGATACAAAGTGGCTCACAATGCTTCAAACTAAGATTCTATTTCTCAGCAAACATCCCACAGAAATTGAGTAAGGGGTGTATATGGCTCATTTTTTTTTCATACTTCGCAGATAATGAATGTTTGTGCAACCCTGCGTCAAGCAAGTCTTAATGTAGCACCATTTTGCCAACAGCATGTACTCACTTCCTGTCTCTGTGTCATATCTTTGGTAATTCTCACAATATTTCAAATCTTTTCATTATTCCAAACTTTTTCATTCTCACTATATCTGCTACGGCTGACCTGTGATCAGTGACCTGCAACTGTTTTGGAGGCACCACAAAGTGCACCGCTATCAGATGGCAAACTTTACCGATGAACGTCACGTAGATGAATGTCACATAGGTTCTGACTGCTCCATTGACCATCTGTTC